TTGGATTAAAAAAAAAAAAAATCATCCACTTGAATTTTTTTGTTAATAATCGAAACATGCGACACTTTTTTAATAATCGAAACATGTGACACATTTAACTTTTGTGTTGAAAGGATATAAAATGAAAAACAGAACATGTGTCGTATGACAAAAACATCTCTTATCATATTACTCTATATATAAAAATACTATATTTCTCATGATATTGACGAGTAACACATGATACAACATAAAAATACGTTTATACGAAGGAAGGAACAAATAACATACAAAACTGATCTATGGGGTGTTGTTTGGAATGGTCAGGTATTTGGTTTACTCCCACAAAGTATTGAGATTCGAACCTCTTTATAAATTATAGGCACCTACATGACAAATGTCATAATTTGTAGAGGAGGGTTCTAGTTTCCAACTTGTGCTCACAAACTGGGTTCAAAAAATTTCTGGGTATTAAAAAGAAAAAACATAATAATAATAACATACTAAACTGCATGTAGAGTAAGCTTTGCCATCAATTTATCCCCCACCTTCTTGTGGCAAAGGTCCATCCAGATTCCAGCCTAACGAACTCTGCTACTCCTCTTTTAGGACTTCGGGGCTTTTGTAACCCGAAGGGGACAAACAGCGATTCTTTTTTGCTTGAACATCTCTATACATTTTTTTGTGAGATTAAACCGCTCATAAAAAGCGAGTCCCACTGGGTGAATAGAACTCAATTTAGTGGGACCATTTTTTTAGCCCATGAGGATGAATACTATTTTTCCGTCAAATTAAGAGGCTGTTCTTTTATTCTTTTTGATAAGTAATCTGAGTGTAAATTTTGAGTTGAGTTTGAGTTATAACTTGAGTTGAAGTTGTAATTTGAGTTTGTGTTTAGTTGTGTACATTTGAGTTATGGTTTGAGATAAGAATCTTTTTAAGTTTGTGTTTGAGTGAGTCAAAACTTGAATGTATTTATATAGTATTTTAATAAAAACTCAATGCTGATGAAAAATTTTAATAGGGTATATGAATGGGGTTTTATTCGTCTTTTCGTTGTCAACGCATAGAAAAAAATCATCTCAATCAAAATTAAAACGAAAAAGTTATAGCATTTTTAAGAATAGAAAAAATATTGTTTATTAATTTGAGTTCGAGTTTCTGAACTCGAATTAAAGGAAAAACTTGAACTCGAGTTTTAATCCAAAACTCGAGTTCAAACTTAAGTTTAAACTTAAATAAAATTATAACTCAATTTTTTTTTTTTGAGTTTTTAACTCAAAAATGGGGCTGCGAAACAGCACCTAAGTTATTTGTAAACGTGTCTAGAGGTGGTATGCTACTCTTCTATGCAAACCATTGTTGGAAAGGAATGGCAATTTAACCTCTTGTAAGTGGTCAAGAGGTAAGATAAATAAGAGCAGAACCAATTCCGTGCACCGGATTACAACACGTTTTAGTGTGAAAAGGAAGGGATAACTAATCCGAAACCAAAAGTTTAGAATAATCTCATTTTATGGGATCAGAAATTACAACCCATTTAATTTATGGATTAAAACTATGAGATTATAACTATTTTTAATTTACGCGTGTTTTTTATGAGAGAAAATACTGTAGCAAACCATGAACTATGATTCGAATCAGAGAACGAATTCTCCAACCAAACGGGAGATCCCCTTCAAAGGGGATTATTATTTTTATTATAATAAACCTAAAATAATGTTAATTCATTTTTATATCCTAAATGATAAAACTTTTTTTTTTTGTTTTTGCTCAAAAAAAAAACTTTTTTTTGTTTGTTTTTAACATTTCAAAATCAGTTCATAAATATATATATATATATATATATATATTTGCAGAACATGAATAAAAATACCTTTAAATTTGTATTTTTTTCATGTTGAAGTAAGTTATCATCTTAAGAACACAAAATACAATTAAATAGCCCATTGTCAAAAGATTCGACTACTTTTTTATGTCTAAAAATTATATTACAAGACAATACGATCTAATCAACTATTACACACACACATAAAACAATATTAAGTAGATATAATTTTGATCGAATTCAACTATGTGCAATAATCTTACCCGATTCCTTGCACCCAACACATTCTATATACATTTCTTTAATTAAAACTAGAAATAGGAGATTTAAACTCAAAACGTCACTACTTAAATAAAAGTGTTAATTTACCCTTATACTAAGCATGCAATCACTGTATCTTAGAACGTTAAGAAATTATAATTATAAAAAAATTAAAAGAAAATAAAACTAGATTATAAAAGCAATAGTATCCATTAGAAAGGTAACATTAATTAAATTGTGGATTTAGTGAGAGACCTTTGAAAATAAAATTCACGTTTTTCTTTTAATAAAGGAACCTTCTTCAAATATGTTAATATACTAATAAGTTAATTTTTTTTTATTAAATTTTTATAAAATTACGTGAAAATTAAAAAATATATAAATTTAATAATTAAAAAATATATAAAGTTAACATTAAACAATTTGACATATCAGCACACGGACAAGAGAATCTTTTTAAATTAAATTTTCTCCTCGCAAGAAAAAAAAAGTAAAAAAAAATCCTTCTTCACTTTGCACGTTGACCAATCCCAATATCAAATCTAACGGCGATCGTCTTTAGTCCACATAAAATCCCGTACAAGCGAAAAGCACACAATGTAAATGTAACTCCTCTACGAAAAGTGACACGTGCTCCTTCCCTTCATTTATGAACCACACGTCTCACGTTCTTAAGCCTTCCAGAAGCTCCGAGACAAACACACACACACGTAGGGCTGTTCATAAACCCGAACAACCCGCAAACCCAACCCATTTCGCCCCAATTCAAGTTGAAAAAAATAATCCGCAGCATTATTTTTAAATTTACGGCTCATTATACTTCTGGCCCAAAGTGTTTGGGGCGGATTGCGGGTTGGCCCATAACAACCCACAATCCCCAACCCAACCCGCACAACATACCCCCAATCTTTCGGCCCAAGCCGAACTGTCTAAGTTCTACCATAGGCTCGCTAACATTAGGGTTCACAATCTCATTCTCGATCTCCTCTCCCGTGAACCCCCTCTTTTTGCCTCTTCTTTTTCAGTTTTCCCTCTTCTTCTCCTCCCGTGAACCCCCTCATAACTCTCTCCTCATTGCTCAGTTCTCTCGGCCGCCGTCTTGTCCACTTTCTCCGGTGGTCTCTCACCGGACTGATAAGAATGGTTGCTATTTCTATTTAATGATGAAGTTTGAATATTATATTAAACTTTAATTCTTTGATTTTTTGAATGTTGAAACCGACCACCCAACCCATCCCGTACCGTCTCAACCCAACCCAAATATTGTTAGGTTGTAAAATTTTTTTAACATTATTAGAGTTAAATATGTGCAACCCGCACCCTTTAAGGCGAAGAAAAAAAAGTCCTACCCCACACCAATCCAACCTATGAACAGCCCTACACACACACTCTCTCTCTCTCTCTCTCTCTCTCTGTTGCAAGCTCTGCTACACCAAGGTACTTTTCTTCTTCTTCTTCTTTCGAAAAATTTGATCATCATAATTAAAAGTTTTTAATTTTTATCAACAATTAAATTTATTGTTCAAGCTACGATTCTAACTACGAAGAACAAGTAATAATTTTTAATCATCGTTTTTGCATTTCTTCATTTGATTTCGCGAGTGAAATTCAAACTGAACCATGTTTTTCTTGATTTTTGTTTTTTCCTGAATTTACCTATTTCTGTGGATCAAAGATTCTTTCCATTTATCTGGACTATATTCTGAATATTTGCATTAGCTTTTTTAGTTTTATAGTTTTCTATTTTTTAATTTAAGTATATGGACTATATTCTGAATATTTGCATTAGCTTTTTTAGTTTTATAGTTTTCTATTTTTTAATTTCAGCATATATATATATATATATATATATCTCTCTCTCTCTCTCTCCATATATATATATATATATTTATGTGGTTATAATATAGCTTCAATTTCAAATATGGTTTCAGTCAGTAAGAAATGAGCAGCCGAGCGAGCCGGACGCTCTACGTTGGCAATCTTCCTGGGGATATTCGTCTGAGAGAAGTTGAAGATTTGTTTTTCAAGGTTTGTCTTAATTACTTTATGTTTAACGTTCAAAGTTGTTGGTTTTATTTTATTATATTTTATTTTTTGATGGGGTTTAACGTTCAAAGTTTATATCTTTGTAGTATTATATATGAACGGTGGAAATTCACGTTTTAGTTTCTTTATTATTGTTGTGTTGTTTTCGTGCTTCCAAGTTTATTCGAATGAAGCTCTTTGTAAAAGGATTATTATTTTTCCTTACCTTCAAATTTTCATTAAGTTTACAGCAAGTCAATTTGGGTATATTTTTGGAACCATCAGGGAAATTGGATTTGTTTTGGGACTAGTATGCAAACTAATCCGTAATATGACTACGGGTTAAGTTCAAAAATTTTGTTTCGGTCCTTTATATTATTTATGCGAATTGCTGACTACCAATGTTCTCTCTCTCTGCTTTTTTTTATGTCTTTTAATGGGAAAATTTTTATAATGCAGTATGGGCCCATAGTTGACATTGATCTGAAAGTACCTCCAAGACCGCCGGGTTATGCTTTCGTTGAGGTGGGTTCTAAATATTTATAGCTTGTAGAAGTGAGTTATTGTGATGAATTTTCCATCCTTTTCCATCTTAATAGATAGGTGATGAAATTTTATTGCCTTGAACTAGACTTGTTTATACACAAGTTTCGTATCTCCTTTATTTATTTATTTAATACTTCATAGACATTCTTTATTGCAGTTTGAAGATCCCCGTGATGCCGAAGATGCAATTAATGGTCGGGACGGATATAATTTTGATGGCTGTTGCTTAAGGGTTAGTTTTACTTGCTTATTCCTATTCTCTTGTACCAAAATCTCTCCATATTCTGTTATAGCTAGATGCCAGGTGCCACAATTGCTCCCCTTTCTCATTATATTGCATCTTTATTGGTACTTGTAGGTTGAACTCGCACATGGAGGTCGAGGATATTCATCATCAGCTGATCGTTATAGCAGTTACAGTAGCAGTAGCCGTGGGGTTTCCAGGCGTTCGGACTATCGTGGTACGTGTAGTCTAAGATGCTTTTATTTGTAAGCTCTAGAAAGTAAAACTTTGTTTGAGAATTGATTTTATGTTACTTTGCTTGTGCAGTGCTGGTGACTGGATTGCCTTCTTCTGCTTCGTGGCAAGACCTGAAAGTAAGCACCATACTTCTAATTCATCTTATATGGCACTGCCCTTTACACGTGGGGCTTTGTGCAACTGCGTTGTGAAGTATCATCATTGAATTAGTTGAATCCATTCTTAAAAGATATTGGTCACATGTGTTCAATTACCAGGATCACATGCGGCGTGTTGGTGATGTCTGTTTTTCTCAAGTCTTTCGTGATCGTAGGGGTAAGTAGTATCAACTGTTCTGAGTTGCATGAATCTGGAGTTTGGTATGAAATTTCTCAATTGCTTTGTAATAATTTTCTTGTAGGTATGACGGGAATTGTGGACTACACAAACTATGACGATATGAAATATGCTGTAAGTTAATAATATTGAACTGTTTATAATTATGTAGGGACTTGTTTTCTAATGGTTTCACTATCAAATATGGATCTGATGTTTGAAAGCAATTTTATGAAGATTTTAATTGTCACGAAATGGCAGAAATCTGATGGTTGTTCTTGGCAAACTTGTTTTAATATACTCTGCAGATCAGGAAACTTGATGACTCTGAATTTCGAAATGCCTTTTCTCGGACGTATATTCGGGTATGTGAAAAAATTTCAATGTATTTTCTCAGCTGTGTTGTGATCTTATGCCTGTACAATCTTTTAATTAATATGGTATGTTTAGGTGAGGGAGTATTATTCAAGGCGAAGCTACTCCAGGAGTCCCAGTTATGATTCGAGGAGGAGCTACTCTAGAAGCCCTAGTTGCAGTCCATATAGAAGCCGTAGCCCTAGTTACAGCTATGGCTATCGTGGCCGCAGCAGAAGGGCCATTTGGTTTCTTTGTAATAATATGAAACAAGAATATGATTAATATATGTATGAAACAAGAATACGATTAATGTATTCTGCAAATTGATTGGGTTTTATTTTTTGCAGCCTTTCACCAAGGGGAAAATATTTACATCACTCTCCGCCAGTATCTGTATCATCTAGGTCTCACTCAAGGTGTGTACATCTGCCTTTACTTAGTTATCTAGGATAGCTGCTTTGTATAGGGCAAATTCCAAATTTCTTAAAATTTGTATTAAGTTATTTATTTATTTATTTGCCAAGGGGAATTCAAGTTCCTGTTCTTTGTATTCAGGATTTTGAAGAATATCAATTGAAAGCTTTTTTGTTTTATATATTTTAAGGTCCATGATTCCATTAAATTATTTTTCTGATTCTTAAAGTATATAGCTAAGTTCTTCAGCCAGCTATTTGCATCTAGCAACTGATATAACGGTCTCTGACTGCATCTCTCTCTTAGAAAACTCTCACGTTGTTTGGGACTCTATTATTATCTCTCCCTAGATCATTCTCTGTCTCTCTCTCTCTCTGTCTCCTTTTTTTGTGTCAAACTTTTCTTTCATGCCAAACTTCTTTTGTTTATTTGTTTCTTTGAATGGAAGTGAAAAAAGAAAGGAAGTATTTGATGCCATCAACATTTATCGGAGATAAGTCCATAATCATCTTTGTGTTGCTTTCTCCTGAGACCTTAAAATTCTTGTGGATTGACATGCATTAGCATGTCATAAACTTGTGATAAAACTTTTTTTCTTGTGCATAGTTTTGGAGTATGTTTCGTGCCCCTCAACTCTTAAATAACCAAGTATATCCATGAGTTTAAAATATGTATTTTGGCAAAGAAGTTTTGTTGAGCAGAGTTGCTCACTGGACTTGCTAAGTGCTAGCATGTGCTCAGAGATAGGTTGTAACCCTTCGGTAACTAGGTTATCTTCCTTTAGTAGGACTTAAGTTGTAGACATCCTGATCTGCGAAGTTCCTCTAGATGACCATATTCCGAGCTTGTTTGATTCCCAAATTTTATCCTTTTCACATCTTACGTATCCAGTTTTTAGTTGGGCCTTATAATTCTTCTTTAGCGAGTATTTTTTGCACTTCCAATTCAATAATGGAATCAGACTTTTGTCAATCCTATTGACCTCATAAAGAATTGGAACTTCTTTCAGAAGAAACTATTGACTTACCTTTGGATCCCCTTGCACAATCTTTTGTTCTGGGTTTCTACTTGCGGCTTTTTTCACAAATCCTTTCGTAAAGTCTTTTGGTACCCTTTCTTCAGATTTCTTGAAATTTCACAATTGTTTTAAGCGTTGAGCGGTTATTGAGTTAAAGGCTCGGCTGGTTGGCCATTTATCTTTCTTTTTTATGAAGGGTGCCTTCTTTGTTTGCTAGATCCAGCTCTTGCGGAGATCTGGGGACACAATATTAGGAACCTGGTGGGATTTTGGTGCTCAATGTCTCTCAGTTGAGGTAATGCCACTTTTTAAGGGCCACCTCGGGATAAGACGTCTGTGGTGTAATTCGCAAATGTCGTATGTTGATGGGTGCTAAACTGGTTCCATATACATCTAGTCCAAATACTGAGGCTGGATTGTATGAATAGTAGAAATTGTCAAGCACATCATTGTAGACATTCCAAAATGAAGATTTCCTTGCTCTAACGTGCTCCAAAGTTCAAGTGTGGATTTTGCTCATCTGCAATGTAGGAATGTGTGTTGCTCTTTGCCGTCACTTTTTGCCCCCCTGGTATTGTTGATTTGAGTCATGTTTCTACGTATGATGGAAAGAACATCACGAGTTTCAGGCGCAGGCGCTGAGAGGATGAATAGTTGTTTTAAAATTTTCAATGTGATTAACTGTGATGTGGAACATGATATTGGGATATTGAGATGGATTGTGTGTGGAATTTTTGCAGGTCAAGGTCAAGATCTCGATCTCCAATATCATCCGTAAGATTCTTCCATTGTTTTTTTAATAAAATATTGTGTATGTCAACAGTTTTATTGTCATGCAGAATTCATGTCATTTATACTTGGCCTTTTGCATTGTTCCATGCAGCGTGCTCAGCGCCGACTGAACCGGTCTAGGTCGAGAAGCGCATCTGTTTCCCGTTCCCCTTCTGTAAGTTCTAGCTCATGTTGCTTCCATTTTTCTTACGTGATCTTTCCGGTTTTGTACTTTGAGGTGCTGATAGAGCCAATGATTGGCAGGTGAGATCTGAATGAAGCCGATCCTTTGACACCAGGGACCGCTACTGAAGATCATGCTTATGTAGCGTTTTTAGATGTTTCAAGCATCAGATAGGCCCCGAGATAGGAACTTAGCTTAACTATATATTTTATCTTTGATAGGATTAATTATGGAGCGCTTTCTTTGGGAAGTGGATGATGTTTAACCACTGAACTGATGTCGTATTGCAGATCACACTCTTGAGTCCGAGTGTAATAGTTCGACTGAACTGAAGCTATGTCGTAAACTAAATTATTTACTTTAAACTTTTCAGCTATTGCTGTTATCTTGTTTTAAACTATGTTGCGTGTTTCTTCTATCTCCACTCCTCCCTAGGTGTAAATAATTATGATTTATAGGGGTAAGCCGTTTAGAAGCTGAGGGATGTTTGGAGCACCACTGGTGTCGAATGCCTTTATAAAAAGTGAGTCTTATAGTAAATAGTTTATTAGTTGTGGCACCTTAAAAGCGTTGTCAGGCTGATTGCATTGCATTCAGTGAAGTCTAACAAAGGGCCATGTTAATATCTAAAAGAGGAAATTCACAAATAAACTCCAAAGTTTTGGCGGCTAGTGTCAATTAGATCCCTGGAATTTTCATTTGAAAATAAACTCGAAATGGCTTCTTTTTCTTTTTTTTTTCTTTTTATCAAAATCTCCTTGGGGCTTGAACGTTTGAAAAAAAAAAAAAAAAGGGTTAATTTTAAATTTAACCCTCGAAGAAAGAATAAAGATTATCTTAATTTATCTCCTATGACTTAAAAATGGTATAAAACTTCCCTACGAGCTTATCATAAGTAATAACTTTGGCATTTTGAGAATCAAAGCGTCCATTTTTTAGTCATTTTGATCATTCGTCGGTTACGTGATATGATTAGTCAGTTGCAAAATAGAATTTGAAATTAAAAAAAAAAAAACTAATTGTTAATTCTTTCTCACTTTAACTTTGGTTTTGGCTCTTTTGCTCGCAATTCCTGTACCTCTTTCTCCTATATTGTCTTCTACCAATTAATCGCGCAATCCACAACGACTAAAAATTTAGCGTTGACGAGTGTTTGGTGCCATTTGAATTATAAAGAACAAAGTGAAACAATCCTTATTCTGAGGTTAAATTTAAAACTAACTTGAAAAAATTGCACATCAGTAACTCTTAAGTGGCACCATAAAAATAATTGTTACATCACAAACAGTTTAAAGTAGATTAGTTCTTTTCATAAGTACAAGTTGAGAACTTAAATTTTTTGTGAGAGAACACTTTAGTAAAAAATTTGAATTGTGAAACAATCAAGACCTAAATCACTTGCGGTGGTTATTTTCACAATTTCACCAACTACTACATTATTGTGTTTTGTTTGGTTTGATGACGAAGATGAACCATATCCTTTTCAATAAAAGGTACACTAAGCTTCAAAGAATACTAAAATTTACAATACAATAGGGGGTTAATTGTTTAATTCTTGTTCAATTCAAAGGTTTAGGAACATAATTGACATAATCTTTAAAATGCGGAAGGACATACCTAATTTTTCCTAATTAAAACCAAAGCAAGAAACGAAAGACGCCAATTTAAACATTTGTTAAAAGATGAAACGCCTTGGACATAAACCGCATTTACTCTGGTAGAGGGGAAGGTAAATATGAGGACATTAAGAAGGAAGCTTATCGGTAGGAAACCAAATACATTAGACAAAGTAGGATTAAAAAAAAAAAAAAAAATCTGCCAGCAATATTATTGTATTCTAGAGGCAATAATGCAAAACAAAACCAGATGGCTTCATTGCAAAAAGTCATTTCTTATATACTCAAAACAAATGGTTCACCAGGGAAACAAAAGCATTGATGAAAATGCTTTTCAAACATAAATAAATGACCCACCAGTTATACTTGTCCTGAAGAGCACTAGGTTTACTGTTAACCTAGCAGCGAGGGTCACTTGATGGATAAAATGAGCCTTGGACATAAACCGCATTTACTCTGGTAGAGGGGAAGGTAAATATGAGGACATTAAGAAGGAAGCTTATCGGTAGGAAACCAAATACATTAGACAAAGTAGGATTAAAAAAAAAAAAAAAAATCTGCCAGCAATATTATTGTATTCTAGAGGCAATAATGCAAAACAAAACCAGATGGCTTCATTGCAAAAAGTCATTTCTTATATACTCAAAACAAATGGTTCACCAGGGAAACAAAAGCATTGATGAAAATGCTTTTCAAACATAAATAAATGACCCACCAGTTATACTTGTCCTGAAGAGCACTAGGTTTACTGTTAACCTAGCAGCGAGGGTCACTTGATGGATAAAATGACCCATTCCTTGCCATCCAACATGTAATCTTATTTTATGTCCTCTAAGGCAAAGAAACTAAGAGGAAGCCAAGAGTCCGTCACACCACCTGGTGACTACCGGAAAGATCGTTTTCCGGGCAACTCTAAAAGTATTTGGAGCCTGTCATGTATATGACACACACAGGCATGTATATCATTTTCAAAAGCATTACATAATGTCTTGGTTTCATTCATAGTACTGCAAGTTTTTGCTTCACCCAGCAAGGATAACGATGAGAGCCTATGACCGATGCTGTGAAGATGTTCTATCGGACCCATGCCATTGTCGGAAGCCGCTGGATCTTAGAGCAGAATCTGACCCACCGGCTGCCTGGTGAAAAGCACCCCACCCTGGCTCTCTGTCGACCTGGTTTGATGAAAATACAGACAAGTAGTGCTCTCTTTCCCACGCAAGTCGACTCGATAAAGGATTTTCAGCTTCTTGGAAGTTACGACCTGATGACCCTGATGGGAAAAAGTAGAAACTGCTAGGTTGATCTGATGATGAGGCCACAGGTCCTACTTGGGCTGACCCTCTATGATTGCTTGATCTTCGGTTGCTGGGAATGACGGGCGTCCTCATGGTTGGTGAATTACTAGGTTGTGTTTGTTGTTGATAATACGCCTGTAGAGCTTGAACTCTATCACGGGTCCGAGCATTGCTCCCTGGATAAGGAGGAATCATTGAAGAAGTAACTGAGCTCCCAGCTCTAGCACTAGAACTGCAGAAAGAATGTAAAGTCGGCATTGACGATTGATTAAGAAAAGGAATTCGCAAAGAAGGAAACACCTTAGGGGGAAAAAAAGGAAATATCTCAAGAAATTGTTGCTCCAAACTCCAAAGACATGATTTTTGTTATTTCCTTCGTTATTGGTCATCAAACATGTTAAAGGAGCTCCATGCCTCCATCGACTATCAGAGAGTACGCACAGTATGCCATAATAAAATACAAACTTCAAATTGTTAGGAAGTACCTGTGACCAACAAGGAATGGATGCATAAGAGACCCTAATCTTGGCATATCAGAGCTGGCCCTAGATGGTCGCTGACTAACAGGCGGAATAGAAGGCTGATCTGCACCACCCATACGACTGCTAGTTGAAAATGGAGGTGAATGGTGCTCCCAACCATGATAATGAAGATCCATACCAGGAAAAGCATAAGAAGTTGGCAAATCACTAGTTACAGATGCGCCATTCCAGTGATTGTTAAAGTTTGAAGCATCTGAAACACTTCCGCTGGAATTTGAGGATGAGGGATGAACGGGCCCGATGTAGGCAATATATGGGCAAGGGTGTGTGGCTGAGGATACTGCTGTATGCTCAGCAAAAATTGCATGCTGTCCAAGTAGATCATGATCTGCATTGCAACACTACTCCGTTAAATGTCTTGGTCAAAATGAAATAGAATAGAAACTGGAGGGAGAAAGAGATCCATTAAATGTCTTAGTCAAAATGAAAAAGAGAATAGAAACCAGAGGGGGCGAGAAAATTACATACCCAGTTAAGCAAAAAAGAATAATTGAAAAAAAAAAAAAAAAAGAAAAGAAGAAAATAACTTACATGCAGAAGGTGAAAACTCCCCATCCCTGCGAGTAAAAAAGAGAAATTTTTAACTTGAAGGATAAGAAGTCAGGCTCAGGAACAAGAACGAAAATATTTAATAATAACAAAAACAACAACAAGAAGGAAACAAGAAAACCTTACCCTTAATTCTAAGTGTACAAGAATTAAAAGCACCAAACCTTTTTATGAACTAAGTCTATAACTTAAAGTACTGAATATAGCAGAGCAACTAACGGAATATCTTTCTCTTCATAAACAATGAGCACAACATTAGTGACGAATAGGAACTAGATAAAATGCAAGTTAAGTCCCAACCAAATATCAAATTCAGATGAATTACAGATTACAACTATACATTTATCTGAATAAATCCTTCCGTGAGAAAAATAACATGTAACTTCTTAGACAAGTTTGGTTAGGGAGTGCAAGGGGTCACTCGAACACCCCCATATCCAAACCTGTGATTCTGTAATTCCGCCATTAATAACAGTGATCAAGCTTGTGACCTAGCTTGTTTTTGCATAAATCTTGCGTAGCCTTTCTCTAAATTGTTCTTCGTATTCTTTACAAGTTTATCAATTGGTATCAGAGCACTTTCCCAAGATGACTAAGAGAACCGACGACCGTGAAAAGGAGAGAACGGAGGGAAATAAGGAAGATTTGTTGAAGGAGATGGAATCTTTGTGCGAGGATGTGAGGAAAATACCTCGATTAGAACAAGGGCTGGAGTTGTTGTTGACAAGGATGGACGAGTTGCTGAAGCAGCAGAGTTCTGCAGATCAGGAGCCGCTGGAGGCGGAAAACGGGATTCCGGCAGAACAGTCGTGCCGACAGCGGGAACAGGTGAGAGATCGGCGGAATGGCAAGAGGGAGGGGCTTGCGCAGAGTTTCAGACTCGAAGGGTAGAGATGCCGATTTTTTATGGTGAAAATCCTGATGGATGGATTTTTAGGGCAGAAAGATATTTCACCATGAATAGGCTGTCGGAGATGGAGAAATTGGATGCGGCAGTGGTGAGCCTTGAAGGAGAAGCCCTACCCTAGTTCTAGTGGGAAGATCGACGACGGGCGATCCGAGGCGGAGGAAGAAGTGGTCGAGCTATCACTCAATTCGGTGGTCGGATTTACATCGCCAAAGACCATGAAACTTAAGGGAATACTTCGTGGAAATGAGGTAATAGTTTTGATTGATAGTGGAGCTACACAATTTCATTTCTATTGAATTGGTGAGGAAATTGGAGTTGACGGTGGACCGAATGTGTGATTATGAGGACTGGAATGTCTGTTAAGGGCAAAGGAATATGCAAGGGAGTTGTGGTCACTTTGCAGGAGATAGAGGTCGTGGAGGATTTCTTGCCACTTGAGTTAGGAAGTTCATATATG